ATTGTCGTTCGATGTCAGATTGACAGTTTCCTCAAATAATTAGCCACAACAGGTGCTAAGAGATTAGTTCCATTGTCTGACAATAACTCTTTGAGCGGTCGATAATGACAGAATATTTCATCATGTAGGAACTCAGCTATTGTCTCCTGTTTAGCGTCTTCAACAGCTTTCGCGACAGATCACCCTGTAGCGTAGTTCACGTCTGTAATTATCCAACAATTGCCATCTAGAGTAACTGGCAGCTTGCCAATAAGATCAATAGCCCAACGGTCAAACGGTTGAATCGTACGAGGCGCCATATGCTGTGGTGATTCTGTCTCTTGACCATATTGTTGGCGTTGCACAGTCTGACAGTTCGGACATGCCACAACGAACATTTTGACATCTTTTTCTAAACTTGGCCACCAACCTCTATAATTCAACACTCCATCTAAGCCTGGCAGGCCTAGATGTCCATGCTCTTCATTCATTCTTTCAAGGAAATCAGCTCTGAATAGCTCCTCAATGTATGGTGCACTCCCGTTTGAGTCGACAGTACGGTGCAATCAGTTATCCTGTAGGAAGAACTTGTCCTTGTCCCTAAGGATAACATTCTGAATATGACTGTCATTGGGGAGTATATTGTTTTTGAAGTACTCTATCATCCCAGTTATCCAGCGTGGTTCGGTGTGTTCGATAATCATCCCGATGAAGTCAGGTCGTCTACTGAACGCATCGGCCACCACGTTCTCTTCCCTTCTACGATACTGTATATCCAAGTCAAACTCGCAGAACTCAGATATCCATCTAGCCAGTCTCTTTGGGGATGCTTTGGTTGTCTTCAAATACTTAAGACTCTCATGATCGGTAACGACTGTAGTGGTATGACCATTGTCGATGTAGTATTGCCACGTTCAAGTTCAGAGTGCATGTTTGATAGCTAACACCTCCTTCTCATGTATTGGGTAGTTGAACTCAGCCGGTGTCAACCGTCTGTCATCGAACGCTAGTGTATGTAAGCGATTATCTTTTGTTGACTGCTGTAAGAGCACACAGCCAACGGAAAAGTCGCTAGCATCCGTTTCGATCGTGAACGGAGATGATACATCTCTCTGAAGCAGGATAGTATCTGAGGTCAAGCGGCTCTTGAGTGTGTTGAATGCACTCTCATAGGAAGCATTCCAAACAATCTTTCTGTGTTTTTATTTTCTGACTACTGAGTTGTCTTCCTTTAGGAGGTCAAATAACGGTCCGGCAATGGTCGCGAAGTGCCGAACGAACCGCCGATAATAGGAAGCAAGGCCAAAGAAATTGTCTGACTTCATGGACAGTGGATAGCATGGGCCATTTCCTGATGATATCCAGTTTCCCTGGAGTGGGAAGAATCTTCCCCCCCCAACTTTGTGTCCACAAAACTCTAATCCCACTTGCAAAAAGGTAAATTTAGAACACTTTTCATAGAGTTGATTCTTCGCTAGAGTATCGAGTACAGTTGCAACGTGCGCACAGTGCTCCGTGAGTATTTCGGAATAGATAAGAATGTCATCTTAGGTAAATTAAGACGAACTTATCAAGGTACGGGCGTAAGACAGTATTCATTAGAGAAAGTATGTAGGAGAAGTAAAGTAATCGATCGTGTTAATTGTTCGAGCTAAGGGGGAATGCCCAGTATTTATACTAAGGAGAGTTAGTACAAAAGAAATGAAGTGAGTCATGGACGTGTGAGTAATGAAGTGACTAATAGGAAAGTAAGTCATGAGTTGAGTCATACGCCGATGACAAATACTATAATGAAATAATGAGAATCTTCCAATGCTATGAAACGTGCTTAGTGCCTTATTTCAAGATTCATAAGTATTTGAAACATTGCGGTCCCATTCGTAAGACCGAACAGCATGGCCAGAAATTCAAACTTCCCATGTCTGGTGTTGATAGCTATCTTATCTACATCTTTTTCAGCAATTTTAACTTGCCAATAATCAGAAGTAAGATCAATTTTGGTAAGGTGATGAGCTTTGGAAAGCCTATCCAAACATTCCTAGATTGTGGGTAAAGGGTATCCATTACGCCGCGTTATTGCATTAAGTGCCCCGTAATCTATACACATTCTCCATCCACCATCTTTCTTCCTGCTAAACAGAACAGGGAACCCACAAGAGCTTGATGATTCTCTAATAAGCTTCTTGTCCAACAGGTCTGTAACTTGTTTTGTCTGTTCGTCTATGTGGACTGTTGAGAGCGGGTACGGATTAACGTTAACGGGTTTGGCGTCTCCGGTATCGATCGTGTGAGAAATAGAATGTTCTGGAGGAGGATGGGATGGCAGGTCAGAACAGAAAACATGTTGATATTGTCTGATAATGTCTCTGAGTTCTGGATTTGAGCAATCAGGCAGATCGTCGCTGATTGCAGTTCGTCCCGTATTCGATTGTTATTCTCCGCCCGAACCGTTCTTCTCCGAATTGCTGTAGTTTCTGATGAAAAATAGACAAATTTCTGTATCCTTCTTTCTGATTGCCCTTTTTACTGACTGACAGGAGATAAAATTGAGTAATTCCTGTTCGTCCGTACCGTTTCACAAGGTTCGGTGATAATTGCCCAGTCCGAGTATGTGCGTACGTCCGTGGCGATCTTCGAGTGTAAATTTTAGAGTTGTTCAGTCTGTGATGGAGTTCACAGCTCTGAATCATTGCATTCCCAAAATAATGTCAAATTCTGGTAACTCTATAATACGGTAGTCAAACTTCCCCGGGTACGTTCCCATTCGTAGTGGAACGGTAGCGTGGCCAAAGACAGGAATCTTCTTCCCATTGGGCAAGACTATCTTCTCTTTCTACATATTAGGTTTCACTTTCAGCCTCAATCTCTCCAAACCTCTACCACTCACATACATCCTCGATTCACCAGAGTCCAGTAATACTCTGACATCGTTTACTCTGACCCAGCCGTCCATTACGCCCAAATGGGTATTTCCCGATGCATCGACCACACACATACGCTCCATCATCCTCTGGAGCCACCGCGACTAGCTTCCGGCCCCGTTCATCCCCAGTAGCGGCCGTTGCAGGTTCGCGTCTTGGTCGAATTTAGTGCCCTCTACGCCCGATCCCGTCCATTTCCCGAGCGGAAGTTACGCGAATGGGAAGGATGAACATTACTAGAGTTGATATTAAATGTAACATCGTTCCGCTTACTTCCATTGTCGGCAGACTTGTGTCTGGGTGCCGTACACTCAGAACTCTTTTGGGAATCTGAATTACAATTGTAACAGAATCTGTTGGCAAAACAATTATTCTTCCATTCTTTGGTACTACCCTTTTGTATTTTTGAAGAACCATATCCGATTGAATTGAAGTGTTGTCGTACATTCCCAGAATCATTACAAGAGCATACGTTATGGTTCGATTGTTTGAAATCTCTTCTACCGTTCGGAGCGGTATTAAGCCTGGAGTTGAAATTGTGCCTAACATACCACTTTCGATCGATACGGTGGCATAGCTGTATGTACTGTAGGAGATCTTCAGGTTGATACAAAATCATATCCAACTCATCCAACACATAATCCCTGAGGCCAGTCTTGAAGCGTTCCTTAATTTCGTATTCGGGCGTACGTTATGGTAACTGGTCTGCCAGGTCCAACAGATCGATAGCGAAATCACTGACTGACTTGATCTGTCTGAGTTTGTTGTATTGCTGTCGGAGACGATCGTTAAAGTTGAAGTCTGTGCATGCTTCGCAAATGGCCGAAAAGAACGATTCCAGATCAGTTATCTGTTCCAGGAAACCATTGGTGGTTTCATGCATCCATTTTCGAACCGCCCAAACCCGTTTTGCACGTCCAGTAAGGTAAGATGCAGCTATTTGAATACGTTCAGCTTCACTACGGAATCCTCCTCTTATGGTGTATAACTCAATGTATTCCCTTAAATCTGTAATACAATCTTGACAGGCCGTACCGGAACGCTTCCCATCGTAGAATTAAGGTGCTTTCATTATTAGCAGGCCAGAGTTTGGCTTGATCGCCATACTATGAAGCCGATCGGGTACGATTGTACCGGTAATGTTATCGGTTGTAAGGTCGATTAAAGTAGGGTTTCTGGAGGGAGTGCTGAAGGAGGAGAGTTGGATCCACGATTAAGCCCGTTGATAGTATCTGCTAGTTCTTCAATTTGTTCTTGAAGCATAGGGGCTGCCCTATTTGAGCAGGATTGTTCATATCGCTGAGTTCGAGGTTGGGACTGTGGAATCCACCGTCCATATCCACTGTTCCAGTATCGTCTCACATCGAAACAGAGCGGTCAGACAGGCTAGGCATTTCGTTGTCGTTTGTAACGATGAAGGGTGAATCGATTATGATCGAAGGGTATTGCTAGTGAACTGTAATACTATGATCCGTAGGAAGCAAGCCGTTGATTGTACCGAATGGCTACTTGTAGCACGTCGAGAGCGTAGCGAAAAGGTGGTTTACTAGGTTAAACCACAGAGACACTCTCATAGAGTAATGGGGCAGAAAACTTAAGATAAACAGGCAGACTACACTAAGTTTTACAAATGTTGTAACTGTACAACCAAGCGGACGTACGAAAAGGGTTCTACAGTGTTTCCCCTGAGGCTTACTTCGATGTAATCCTTAACACTAATACAATAAGGCAGGTATTGGCTACCGGTGCATAGTAACAGGTCGGAGGTCATTCCAATCGGCAAACGGAAACTGCGTAAGCGAGTCAAGCGTTTGCGCTTGGAGAAGTTCCGCAGAGAAAAACTTGAAGTAATTTTTCGGGTGTATAAAAAAAGAAATTTTCAGACACAGAAAAAAACGACGAGTAACTTCAGTGTTGCTACCATAGATGTGGAATTCGCGTACAACTTGCTTATCTTTATTACTACATACAAAAATAGATCCTTTTATACTAATAGGCAGGCGGCCAAGGGCGGTCAAAGGTAGGACTTTGTGGGTGGGTGGGTGCGTGCGTGCGTGCGGGTGACGGTTTGTGACGCACCCGCTAGTAGGAACCCTTAGTATGACTTCGCGCGCCCTAAGCCCTACCACATCTACCAAGTCAGGTTCTCACGTGCCTGTTACCGCATCACATCCGCGATTGCTGCAAACAAACCCCCACCGCCTCCGCCTCGTAGCCATTCAACCGGCCCTACTCCTCCGACTCCACAAATTGCCTACCACCGCCGCCTTGGTCGGCACCCCCCTTCACCCCCCAGCACTTCTCGCACGACACCACCGCCGCCTCGCCCTTTTCTTCCGCTGGGCGCTGAAGCGCCGGAAGCGTCTCTGGTCTGCTACCCCACATACCTCCCCTCCCCCACTGCCCCACTAATGTCTACTACAGTCACACATACGACGCGCCAGTCTCTACCCTCGTTCTCCATGGCACGTGTACCGCCGCCCACGCCGCGCTCAACACCTAGCGGTCACACGTGTATGCCGGCCTCCACACCATGCTCTCCGCCGCACATGGGGCGCTGGTAGCTTTAATGTAACGCTGCGCAGTGGGGTGGTACGGCAGACTGATGCGGCGTTCCTGTATTTGCGGGCCGTGAGGGATGGGAGTGGCGCAATCCTTTCTTGGGGGCTGCGGTGGGGCGGCGGTTATGCGGCTGTATGGGGAGGGAGGGTGGTGGAGCACGCGAAGGTGACTAATTGGGTCGGGGACGGGTACAAGCTGTGGTGGTGGGAGGGGGTTGTTGGCGGGGTGCGGAGGTGATATCGGGGATAGGGCAGGAGGGGGGGGGGGGGGATGGGAAGAGGAGGACGAAAAGGAATCCGGTGGAGCGTTAGTACACTCGGAACGTGTATCCTCCCCCGCCTGCCCCGCCGACCTCCACGGCATCTTACCACACCGGCATGGGTCGGCCCCCAGACGGCTACAATGGAGCTTTCCCGCCTCTTCGGAAGCGATATGGTTTGTGATGGACCCAATACGTATCCATCTCTTATTCTCAGTCTTCTTGCCACTCCCGCGCTCTTGCACCCCCGCTGGGGCGAATACACGATACAGACCGTACTCCCTCGCACTCCCGGGCTGGAGCCGGTGCTTGGTCGGACGGTGCCACTGCCGCTGGAGTCGTGTCGCAGCGCTTTGTATATGGCTGTGAGGGATTTGGCGTTGGTTGGAAGGGTGGTGTAGAGAGGGGGGGAGGAGGGTAATGGTCGAGGGTGTTGGAGTTGTTGGGTATGAACTTGGAATGGTGGCACGGCGATCGTTGGCCGGGGGGGGGGGGTTTGAAGAGGTGTAGGGTTTTTAGGTTTGGGGGGGGGGGGGGGGATGCGGGGAAATGATGGCGGGGAAGGTGTTTGAGATGGTACTTTTGGCGTTTGGTCTGGCGTAATGGGAAATGGTGGGGAATTGTACGGATTGAGTAATCGACGAAATCATCTATTCCCTGTGCCTGTCCGGATGTGCATTTTGGGAGACTTGCATGTGATCACCACCCACCCCGATACCGCCGGACCGACGGAAACCGGAATTGGTCCGGAAAGGGAAACCGTGATATGTGAATTATGTGTATAGATAGTATGCGTCAACCTATTGGAAGGGGGGCAGTTGTGCCCATTTCTGGGACTGACTGGGACATTGCGGTATGTAGTGAGAGGCGTGATTCCTGGGAGCTACGTCTCCGGCGGTATCTCATCTGGCCAGCGCATCATGTCCGCACACCCTCGCTCCAAACACGTTCCCACAGCCAGCGTCACCGCTCTCCCGCCTACTCTTACAACCCTCCATCTCGCACCCCTCCTTTCCTCTGCGATTTCTATTGATTACCTCTTGTCTTACACCCAGTAATAGAACTTGTGAAATACAAGACCGGCGCAAGAGCAGACGATTGTATCAACGATAGTGGGAGTCCAACCTCATCATCTCTTGACCTCGAACTAACATCTCTCCTCCAAGAAGATTTCACGGTTTCTGCGATATACACTGACCCTATTCTGCTGGTACCGCACTCCCCCGGGGGCGAGCTATAAATCTAGATTAAGCGGTGTAGATATGGCGGACTGGTGCCTGGATGAAATTAAAGAGTCAGAGATTTTCTTGACAATTCAGATTTTGCTTCGGCTTTCTGCGTGTGGAGGAGCGCGGTGAGGAGAAGACGGGGGATGGGTAGAGATTACATTTATAGTGATACTTGAGCCCGAGTTTGAAAATGGTGGAGGGTGTGAAGAGGACTGTGGCGGTCGTTTGTCGGGTGGAGGTGATATATCCAGTCTACTACTCTACATATGCAGAGGCTATTTCACTCCATGCCGACACGGACAGAGAGATACTACGGGTATCAATGATGGGGGATAGTTCCAAGGCCGACCCAAGGGGTGCTTAGGCGACGAGTAAACAACCGTTTTGTTCCACATTCTTCAATCACTTTTACGGTGTGGATCAGTTCTCGACGAAGGACGTTACTATCTATCTAACCACCTATATATGCCTCGACTTATCCGACCAAGGGTAATTTCTTGAAGCTGTCGGCTCAGGCTGTCTCATTGGCCCGATATCTTAACTTGGAGTTATCAACCGAATATCTCTAACCCGATTCACAGTCGTTACCCCGGATGTAGACCCCCGAATACACTCTCTCCTCGGATAATTAATGAATAAAAAAAAAAAAAAACTCTATCATGGGATCATGAGATATCACCCGGCTCTTGGCACTTGACAGTGGTTTTTTTTTTTTGTTTTGTTTAATTCATTAATTGCATACTTGACAGTGGTGTTGTCCGCCGCCAAGACTCCATCCAACCTGAGGTGAGTCTAGTCTCAGTGAGATCCTCATATGTTCATTACCTCATCCTCCCCCTCCACAACTGAACACACTAACAGAAATCTTCACTAACTACAAATCCTACTTCATCAACCACCCGCCCAACTCATCATCCTGCTCCACCTTCGCAATTGACCTCTACACTACCAGCAATACGCAAGAATACGACAGCATCAAACTCCGGTGGAGGAAGAATATATCTGGAACTACTACGCTGACAGTGCGGAGCGAAATGATAGGGGCAGGTAAGTACACTCTTCGAGTATCGGCCTGTGTTGTGTTAAATAAAGCATCTTCCGCTGGCTGGGCGAGCCTGTTCGATTTATAACCCGTGCACAAGATCCACCCAGATCGTGTCATACAATGATATTAAGGACCAGGTAATAACCAGAATAACTGCATCACCCTCTCAGGCTCTATGTCGGTTGCTAAATTACAATAATGCATAAGGCGGTGTTACGAGTGATAACCTATGCCGCAGGTGCGCCTGGCGAGTGATAACCCATGAACCAGGAGTTCGATTGGTTTACTCATTGTTACAAGTAATTCGTCCACCAAGAGCCTGGTCAATGAATAAGGTCAAACTGTACCAACTGTACAAGATTTTATTATGGCCGTTTGAACTTGTGGGCCCCCTACATCGTTGGTTTATGTCATGGCATATATGAAAAAAAATCTCCTCCTACAAGCTATTAGGAGCTTGAGTCGCCATACAAGTCAGCAAAATAGGTATTCAGACTGCTCAGGCCCGAGAACTAGAGCGTTTAAGCTTTCGAACAGGCTTTGTATAAATGGTTGAAACCACGGGTAGAACAGGTCTTGAAGATTTATGGACCGTGTCAGCAATTTATTTAAAAGACAAAACCTCAACCAACTGCAAAGTTAATTAAGCGGTTCAGTACAACGGGTCTGAACCACAACACCGGTAATCCACCGAAAGGCTCAGTTCAAGGACAGGAGGATAGGGGGAATTGAAAGCTCAACTGTGAGTATTCCTCGGTGTGGTACGTTATTTCTAGATTGTCTGCGTTCCTGGGTTGGTGATTAATTCTTGAATATTACTAGGTTGACTGACATATTCCTGAGCTAGTCCACGTAGCTCTAAAGCTGATAATCTACAGCATACCACAGTGCTATCTCAATCCGGGCAAGGAATTTATTCTTGTATGCGCAGTTAGATTTAGTTCATGAACTTTGGGAATACATCTTGCGGTATAATTGAATTACACTTCGTTCCTTGAAACACAGCTTAGGCTTGTGGGGTGCTTGCCCGTTCTGAGTTACTTCTAATTTAATATTTCCTTTATAGGCTTTCGTGGCAGAGTTATAATAGTTCGCAGATCAACAGAAACCGAAATACACTTCGTAGTGATCTAACGTCATTTAAAGTATGCTATCCGTAGTGCGGACATCCGCTCTAGTCAGGTGGGTCCCAAATTTCGAGATTATACCTACCCCAATTGCTGAAGTTTCCTATCTACCTACCTACCTACCATAAGTTTGATTTTAGTACGCAGTGCACAGGCGCGGAGTTTTAAAGGGAATCACAGGCAACTCTTGATTCGTTTGATTGAAGTTTAATCCAAATGTCCCAACATCGAAAACAATGGGTCCCACCGAATCCAATTTCTCCCATCTTCTAACCAACCTTATCCTCGCACCAGTACACTACTTATCCACCAACCTTCAAATCAGCATTCAAATACGACTACATATCTGCTCGACTACTCTCACCTATATACCCTTATCTGCATCCCCTGCTCCGCTTCGGCTTCACTCCTTCCGTGGAATCTTTGACAGTTTCGCTGCTTTGCCGGGGGCGCTTGCGTGGTGCCAGTGGAGCTGCGCTATTTTGAATATTATTAGGTCTCATTACCGGGGTCTCTTTGTTGTGCAGACGAGTGCTACGGCGGGGTTCGCTGGACGACCTAGTTTCACCCCCCCCTCTCTAAAAGTACTTGTGCATTGATCTCTAGACTGCTTTCCAGACACGCTAGCTGCAGCGGACTCGGGGCGTCATTCTCTGAGGTGGGTGGTGATGGAGCGGGGTGTTCCTCATGGTGTGTGGCTGAGCCCAGACATGGCGGATCCGACTGATCGGAGTCAGTAATAGGCATGATGTCTTCATCGGGTAATGATAGCAAGCCAGCAACATCTTCAAAGCCCGCCTCTAACGCCACAAGTGAGGGCGTTGACCCATTCCGGTCAACCGCGGACTGATCAGCTCCGCGATCTAGGAGAAATTTACAAACACCCAGGCGGCCGCACATTGCGGCCATGTGTAAAGGAGTCAACCCATTCCGGTCAACAGCGGACTGATCACCTCCGTGCTCTAGGAGCAGCGTACAAACATCCACGTGTAAGGGAGTCGACCCAAGATTATTGGCAAAATTAGGTTTCGCGTACCCGGTAAATGTGATGCCTGATAATAGCAGTTTAATGCTATCTATAGATCCGCCTCTGGCCGCGTGGTGTAACGGAGTTTCCCCATTGTTATCGACTGCATCAACCTCCGCGTTGTACAGGACTATTACTCCTACGAGTTTATGATTATTCTTTCCGACTGCGAGGTGCAACGGTGTTGAACCAGTCCGGTCCGGGAAGTAAGTTTTCGCCACCACGGTAGCATTCGTTCGGCGCTTTAGCAGCTTCCCCTAGCTTTGTAAATAATTCAAGAGCTGAATTATTCCCATATATTCTCGCCAGCTGAATGTATTTGTCATAATTTTGATTATCAACCTCCGGAGGACTGATCAAGTCGAGTAGCTTCTTTATTGTGCTCTCATTCCCACCAATAGCAGCAAAGCAGAACGTATTGAATCCCCAACGATCTTCCTCCCAAAAGTCCAAATGGGGTTTAAGAATTTCCGCAACTATATCATTGTATCCTTCCAACAACGCCATGTCTATAGCAACCTTCCTGTTATATATGTCGAATAGCCTTTCCCTCGTATCCGGATCAACCTCATGTAATAGCCATCGAATGACATCAATGTGACCGCTTCCTGCCGCAAACTCCTCTAGAGACAGTCCCTCTTCAGCCCTCCATGCCCCGTGACTAAGTAGTAACTTCATCATACCCAATCTACCAGCTCCTGCGGCACAATAAAGTGGTGTGAGATCGAAAACGTTCTTGAGCTCTATCTTTGCACCTCCCCCAAGCAGAACTATTGCTGCCGAATCGTGGCCCTCACTTGCAGCGAGGTGTATAGCTGCGCTTTCACTGCCCGACCCAGTGAAGTTAACAGACGCACCGACTGCAAGCAAGTTACTAATAGCCATAGCATGCCCCTTCTTAGTAGCATCAAGAAGTAAAGATCCTAATTTATTCTTCATAGTGTTCGGGGTCTTGGTTTTGACAACTCGCCGTAACAGCATATATGCATTTGATCCCTGGTCATTCTTAAGCCCTTCAATGAGACTCTTCAATCACGCCTCCATTTTAGCGTCGATAGAATCTCGATTCTCTAGCAAGTACCCCACAGAATACTTTAGTAGTGGCCTGTCTTCCAGATACTCTGCGCAAATTAGATCACCTCGCCCTCCAGGCTTCAATTCCTCACACATGATCTCGAGGAACTGTACGCACGCGAGGCTTATCATGCATGAAACCTCGCCATAGTCTGTGATGTTGAATGGTGTTCCAATCATACACTTAGGGGAGCTTTTTAAAAATTCTCGCACCGTTTGATGCATAAGTTGAGCAACCGCAAACCCATTTTTCCCTAAATCGATGTGTCTAGTCAGTGGGAGGAAGTTGTTTGCGGCGTGGTCTATGAGACTTACTATCTTTAATATCGACAAGGCTACTAGTGCAACAAGTTACGAGATTCCGGATGTTCACGGATCTGTTCTGCTCCCACCGTGTGTGATCCGGATCGCATCGTGTCTTGTTATTGAAGAGCGCAAGAGCATCACGTAACTCACCGAGCTCGATTGCACCATGAGAAAGCAGGCAGAACCCGAGAATACGTCCCCCATTAATCAGTTCGTGTGCATCTCTACCTTTTTTTATTTCTTGGAATATATGCTCAAAGAAGCTCTCGAGATCTTTGGGAAGGCTCTTCAGGAGTTCGAGTAGATTACTTGGGCTTGAACCATTTCTAACCTTTTGCTCCAACTCAGCTATGACCAAGCGAACCCATAGAAATACACCATCGGCTGTAGCTAATATGTAGTCTTCAAACTCTTTTCTCAACGAGATACCACACTCCTCGAATACATTTCCGTTTAATCGAGCATTTGTGTATTTTCTTATATCGGTTTTCGTGTAATCTTGGAGAGAGATCCGGTTCATACCCCCTGATGGCTTGTATTGAAGTTCGTTGATCGGTCGGCTTCCAAACAATACTTTAACCAAAGGTCCCGTTTGATTGTTCTGTACCGCTTTCAACACGTTCTTGAAATGCTCGATTATTTCGATACGGTTGTTTCCTGTGTTTTCAGACTCGTCCAAAGCGTCTATGACACAGTATATGGTAGACGGGAATGGATGTTTTGTATAAACATCCTCCATTATTCTCCTTAGTTCGTCTATCCTCCAATCCATCGGGAGATGTCCCTGGTTCGTCCTCTTGTGATATATTTGCTGAAAGTGGATAAAAAAACGTTTCATCTGCCTCAAGAACCGAATGTAATAGGGCTTTTAACATGTTAAGATGGCTTCTTTCCGCTGCGCCGTCCCTGGCGCTGTAGAAAAAGCTGCTAATGATTGCATCTTTCACAACCGGATTTATATTCTCCCTGATATATCTCATCAATGTACTTTTACCACTTCCTGGTTTACCTTCAACTAAGAGAAACCCTGGATCAGCTCGCGCAGAGGTATTCCAAGACCTGTACTCTTCTGTCTGCCATAACCAGTTGAATGTATGTTTTTGGTGTGGCGAAATCTTTTCATATCTGGTGTTTTGGAAAGCGAGGGATCTCAAACAATCTATAGTGGGTTAGGGAATGATTTACAGGTTCTACAGGGAGCTCAGAGAACAGTCTTTAGCATACCCTGTCTATATTTGGCATATTCGCTGTAAAGGATAAGAAAATCCACCGACTCCTCCAGATAAAAATCGTTGTCTGGATATTCACCCACGACCAAGGTTCTCACCATGTCAAAGGGCTTCTGAGCATTGTGCCTAAATGGAACAAGGTTCCTAATGAGCTCCTGAAACGCTCTCTTGGGGAGTTTACCAATGTCGAGAATAATCCCAAGGTTCTTGAATCTTTTCCCTGGTTGATTTCCAGTCTCGCCGGGATATCCTGAAATAGTGCTGAGTGCAGCTCCCAGAGCAGGTCACGATCTAGAGGGAGATGAGGCATTCAAGACATCTTGAGTCCCCAAGTTTGGAATAGATTTCAGCACGAGTAGTGAATCGTCGGTCATGGATTGTAATAAGCCTCCGAGGAATTGTCCATATCAAGTCTTGCACTTCCTGTGAGCAAGTATCCACGGCTTCTCGAAATAGTGTCCACACTACCTCTGCATTTGCACTATCTATAACCGTATTCATCAGGACTAGGGACCTGTGTAAATAGCAGAGAGATAAGCAAGAGGTTTCCATCTTTGGGAAGACTCGCTGATGATATGATATGACAGATTCTAAGTTGTGATACCCGCCAACAATTAAGAGCTTATCACTCTTATCTCTTTTAGACCAATCTTTGTAGTTGGAGTTGTGGAATAACCAGCAAAATTCTTTTGAATTTTCCAAGCCATCAAGTTTGTCTGGTCCGTCGATATGTCTAGGCCGGCCTATACGACCTTGCCAGTTGCCATCCTTGGGCGAGTTCCATTCTAGGCGTTCTAGGATTCTCTCACGGTCGTTACTGCCTATTTAATTTTAAATCAGTTTTATAAACATTATTTAGTTCGCCTAAATCAGGCCTGGCAGCTACACACCGAGACAGTACTTAATTCCTGTAACGACGGTTTGGAAGATAGGGTCGTCCACCGAGCTCAGCTTGGCCATTCCTGTGCGACTTGACTTCACCGAGAAGCATCTCTCGTTGGGGAGAAAGAGCTGACCAGAGAGTCGGGTTACTGTTCCGTGCAATTCGCGGATATGACAGATTCGTGAATGGACTTTACAAATTCGCGAACAGACTTGAGGTATTCGTGAATGGACTCCTAGGCTCATACATCTGTGACAGGACCAGTCTATTCACGAACAGCCTGGGGAAACTGTTGTTTTAATATCAACACTTGATAACTAATAATGATTTATATTAACCCCGATGACTACTACAATCACCAGAGACCTCTAAAAACAGACTAGCGACCCTAAATATCGAGTCTGGAATAATAATTAGCACCTTCAAGATCTTTAGCGAGCTTCAGTGACATCCTGTGGCCTCTATCAGCCTCAGGCACCTTTGCAAGCTCTTATTTGGGCCCTATGACCTCTAGTAAAGCCATATGGCCTCTGATAGAGCCCAGGCAATTCGGGTGTTGGTTCCAAGAGTCAATTTCACTACCTTTTGCCCAGTCCATTCGCCAACGGACCGGTCCGGCCCCGGGTGTACGGAGAAAGCAGTCCATTCACGAATTCGAGGTGTCCGCCAGTGGCCCGGAACATTACCCTTTGAACACGTTCAGCTGCCCGTTCATCGGTCCTCGTGCCCACCTGTGTAACCTTGAGCCTTTCTCTGCGAGGTAAAGAAGGATGGCGGTTTAATTCTTAGACGTTTTACCTTTTGTGTTTTCTCTATTTCAAAAAAGGAATACACAACTCCCTTAAATTCTTTCCAAACGTTGGCGAGAGATCTCTGTTGGTTCTCTAAGAACTCAGAACCTACTTGTAACTACCCCAGTATGCCTGTACACTTTTGGCGATCTATATCCTCTTGAACAAGCTCATAGAGGTCGGACACCTCCATTCCTTGATGCGGCGTCCCAAATAAAAATATTCCGCGAATACAGTCTCAAAGATGGTTTTTTGCCCGAACATTACTCCATTCAATTAGTAGCTGTTGCATCAATTAGCATTATACCTCTTGAGTTACGAATCATATCTGACCTGGATAATCAGAATTCCCCCCAGACTATGCCCGATAAATACGATTTTCCGATCCTATTAATTGTCAGAATTGGTGAAGGGTTCTTTCTTTATCTCGCTGCAGACCACGCTTCCCCCGTTTTGCCCCACGCAATGAGACAACGCCGAGAGAACTTGATCAAAGGTTATAAAGAAGTCACCCCAGCGCACGAGAAAAACTCCTAAGCTGCAATATTGATAATAAACTAGACATACCTGGCAGTAACGCCGAGCGTTGTTGAGAGCTACTTCCAACTTCATCACGTAATCCCACATTCGCATATCATTAGGGTGGACCAGGCTACAGTCGTACCCATAAGTCATTATGCGGGTATTCGGAAAACCTTTAGGTAGAAAGTCGTGTATCTACATAGGGCGGTTAATGGGACGAGAGGTTCGTTGCCGGCTTCTCCAAGAGCCAAAAGCATGACCGCCCAGGCCAGTGATAGCGATCACACTATATCGGGCACATAATTTAGGACTGACTGGGCCGGGGAATATTTTTGAGAGCTGAATTTACTCTGCGACGATTGGCAGTGTGGGTTTGTTCATCGGGGTCAAGTCGTAAAAGTGTCTGTCGATCACCATGTGAAAGGTTTCCCGATTTACTTCAACGACCGGGTGTTCCACGTTATGCTGATGTGAAAATCTTGTGCGGAGGGAGTTTGTGCAGCAATCCAAGCCGAGTAAAGCGCACTGCGTATCGTCAAAAGGGGATGGGAAAGAGCCAGACAGCTTCGCCGTGCTCCAGTCTAATTCTCCATCGATATGGTTCGTTAAGTAGTCCATGACGTCTTTGCTATCCCAGTGTGGAGGAATTCCGCTAATACGGAAGCAAATAGGAGAAGGCAGTCCGCTGGGTTGAGGAACATTCTCCTGTGTAGTAATATTCTTGGTAGCGCTCCCCGGAGCCGGAGTCGGTTCTCGGTCAGTGTTCTGTCTTCCGGGAGTGCTCAGTTCTAGCTCTGGAGCACAAGTAGTTGTATTCATGTGTGTATGTGTCCGTGTGGTGTGATAATAGATTATTTGTTCTTCGACAGCTATTGGGGTTGGAAGGGTGGGGGCTCTGGAGAGCATTGCAGAAACTAGGGTATATGTAGCTCTCTTTCCATGTTTCCGTGCCAGCCCCCCCCCCCCCCGGGGTGGGAGCGCGGCCTATGCGTTGTGATTCTATTATGCGCTTTGCAGCGTTGGCCAACGGCCCAAGTGCGTTTCGGGTCTGCTCAGGACCAGCTGGGCGCGAGATCTCAATTCATGTAGGCCGAAGACCCAAGTTACAGGTCCCGTGCGCCTAACAAGAGCCTGCCGCGGGTGGAAGATTTGGGCCAGATATCAAAACCGTTGGAATCAGCGAACCTACACCATTATCTCTCGCATTTCTAAGCGCAAATTTTTCTGCTCTGCTAAGGCCTTCAACCCACCCGTCATTACCAGAAGTCTAGAACAGCACAGAAAAGCCCACTCCCCCTGCACTCCCTCCCCCAAGGCTCGATCCGAGTCATGCTATTTACCCGGGCAAATAGGTCTCTTCTGATTTTCACTGATTATGAAACATCTAGGCACTCCACTTGCGGCTGAGCGTGTCTGTAGCCATGATGTTGACCAATTCCAGTTCAGTATTTTATCCCGGCCGTTTCTAAATATGCGACATCAGACCAAATCCACCTGTAAGAAAAGAGCTGCACTTTCTCCAACCCGGAAAATCAGCATCAGCGAAAGATTAGTGGTGCTAAGACGAGATTGCTCGCCCTTGTTTTTTGACGAGGCGAGTTCGGCATATTGTCATCTTTATCCCTGAGTGTGCAGGTGTAGGATTGCTGGTCCATAGAGTTTGAGAGAATTGTAAGTAAGTATCTGTCTTCCCTCCCGCTCCTTCTGTGTTCACAGCCTTTATTCCAACCATCGTCCCAAAGAACTCCGGAAGAGGCGCTTTGTTTTGGTTATAGCTAAAGTAGAGAGGTGATATTAGTATACGTATTGCGAGTTTCGATCGATCTGATAAAACCTTCCACATAGCCAAACTCTTCCGAAGAGCCACATAACCGGTGGGCTCCAAATCTTCCTAAAACCCCCAAAAGTAAGGGGGATAGGTCTTTTGGTCATTTGTCCAATTATTGGAGTCTAGAGTACGGTACTTGTAAACTTGTGAGCCATTGCACCCAGATACCGACAACGAACACTAGCAGCTAACTAGCTAAGGCCAGGCTTGGCGCGCTTACTAGAATTATAAGGATCCCCACATATATCCTCGTCTCCTCTATCTCTATCCATCTCACCACGCATTACAGCAAGTTCCATAATACTAGGCTCAAATTACTTTCACACACATAGTGTGATTCTTTAAATAATAGCCTACTTAGGAAGCCCGAGCCCGATATTCTCCCGAAAAGGTAATTTCAACTGCCTAGATAGCCTATATAGGCTATTCTTCGAGAATTGTACTGTGAGTTGAGAACGCATTCTGAGCCTAGTATTATGAAACTTACTGTAAGCTACCTACCTCCATGTTCTGATCGCTATACTTACACCACATAGACTTCCACACCGACACTCAATCCACCCAAACGGACCCACAATCGCACTCTATTGTTATTTTGTCGCCCCCTCGAATTCGACGCCTATTATGAACGATATGTGACGCCTACCACCAACCCCGGCCATCCTGTTCTGGCACCTACTAGGACTCGACTTCCATGTGAATAGAGGCGTCGACTAATACCGGTTTGGGGTTGCCTGAGGGGGGGAACTGTCAGTAGGCAGCCAGTTGTCGAGCCTGAGGCAGCCAGGTACAACTAGGCAACGACGCGGGGTGTATATGCATAAAATTATGGCCCAGATATAGATAGGCGGAGAGGTGCCAGAAAGCCCTTGCCTTAGCCATGTCAATATACCATTTGCCGAATAGGTCTCAGCATCAATATATACCCATTCCGGCCCGGGAAAGAGGCTCCGCACGAAAGCTAGTTTCGGGTGTTGTACTAGCAGACGGTATCGGTGGATCTAGGTTAATCCCTGGTGGGGAAATATGGCACCTTAGAAACTCGTGGCGGTAAGAGCTGTTGCTGTGGAACTGTTCCATGCTCTCCACCGAATTCATTCTCCACGAACTAGCCTATGGTTGAAACGGAGTTTTTACCCCTGTAAATGCCGTTTTGGACCGTTGCCGAACGGGCCCTCAGTTCCTAAGGTTTTGGAGGTCACTCTTACCTGGTCTGGAGGAAGTATACGGGGAGGTACCGAGGATTTCTAGACATCTCCCCTTCCAAGGGAATGTTATGGTGCAAGTTAGTATGCATAAACGTGTTGGGATCTGTCCTGTTTCTCAAACTTTAAAACCAGGCTGCGGCACCATAGCAATCCTACAGATCACGAGCTTGAAATCTCTCATAGCCACAGCGCAGGTTACCCAGAGCGCCACCAGCCACTAACCACCAACCCCGGCGCCTAACCCACTTCGCCCTCATTCTACACAGTATCCCACTCATCCACTGTCCAAACCCTCCTCGCCACCTGGGCCTCACGCCCAAACATGCACTCTGCCCGATCAGAAATTCAAAACTCTCGACTACACCGCTAGGATTCTTCAGACGCACCAGCCCTACCCCACTACGACCTGCCCGCTCTTGGCAGAGATCAGCAACCCAAACACCCCCGACACGCGAAGCACGGCTCTCTATGGGCTCGTACACGACGCGCTACACGTCTTCTCCGCAGCCGGTGGGCGGCCTCGTAACAGCATTCCCCAACCCCGGGCATCGCGCACCCCCCGCAGCGCAACTGTCACATCCAACTGCCGCGTGCGCGACGGTAACAAGTCCATCCTCAGCACGAATCGCTTCATTGAGGTCACGCACATCATCCCGCACCCGGCGGAGGCGCATCCTGGTCGATAGTGGAGATGCTTTTAGGCGCGGAGGAGTTAAAGGTGTGTGCGTTGGGCGGGGCCGCAGATGGAGGCACGGATACGGTGGCAGTACAATGTGTTTAAACTCCGTCGAGCATTGTTTGTTTTATAGGGGCCATTGGGAGCTTGTCCCACCACTAGACAGTGTTCTTCCGTATGTGGAGAGCACGTGTACGGAGGTGAGCGCGGCGCTGGATGACTATCTTTCCCCAAACCTTTGCACCTCGACAATCTCTCAGCGGCAACCCCGCCCCCTCTTCCCCACACCGCTTTACTACTCAGTTAACCTGCTCACTAGTATCCAGCACCCATCGGCTTTCTGTCTAAAAGCCTCTCGACCTCGGCTCGCACACCAGCACGGCGGAAGGCTGCACCCGCTATGCCGGAGAAATCCTGGAAGGGCATCTCATCACGTTGCGCACGCTGAACAGGGCAGATCACCCGCTGCTACTGCAGCTGCATATTGTATACTCGCTCATACGTATCACAAGGCGGTCGCTAGGTACCCGTAGACTGAGGGTAGTGACAGTAGTCGCGGGTGGGTCGAGGATGCGGTGGATGTGGATAGGTGGGGCGAGAGCTTGAGGAGGAGACTGTTGGCGGCGGGATGGATGGAGAATGAGGCGGGGGTGGAGGGGTGGGTGGACTCTATGCCGCTGGGAGGTGTAGAGCTACCGGGGATGAGCTTCGGGGGGAGGCATGGGCCCCGCCGGATGTGGAGGAGGAGCAGGAGGAGGAGCAGGAGGAGGGGCAGGAGGGGGAGAAGCGTGGGGAGCATGCCGAGACTTCAGGGGGGGGAGTTAGCAGCCAGTGACCGACACCGACAACGGCAGCGTCATCGTATGCAGAGCAGGGGGGAGGGGGAGGAAGGGAGTTTTGGGCAGGTTCAAGACGGGTTGGAAGAAGAACCGGAGGAGACTGACATTTGCAGCAAGAGGCAGAGAGATCGGCGGGGGTGAGGGGTGAGGGGTGAGGGGGGAGGTAGGAGGTGCGGGAGTATGAGGGGATTACCCTTCTGGAAGTCGAAGAGAAGGCGAATTATCACTAGGGGGTGCTGGAATAATTCTAATCCTCAAGTCGCGGAAGGAATCGGGGGTGGCGCTCGGACTTACCTTTTACTTAACAAGCAGGGATATAACCGCATTCTACGACCATCATCAATTCAGTCTCTGTATTCTCCACATAACACGGTGATGTCCAGAAGGAGAGTAGGGAGGAAATACTTGGTCTCGGTCTTGGTGCATAGACACCGCAACGGAGCACTTCAGGCTCCAGTGTTCACGGTATGTTTGGGCAGCCCCTGTTGGTCTTGACGCTCGGATGAAGGAATCTCTATCTTGTAATGATGACAATGGGATCAATTCGGTGCTACAGCTCATCTCTATACTATCCAGACACTTGTGTCACACATATTCCCAACCGGTTGATACCACGTAGCCGTGGCCTTGATACTTATTCCGCTAACCTACAGTGCAAGGAAGATATGTTGACAGATAAAATAACCGCCAGGGCTCGAGAAATATCAACGTGGTCAAAAGCTAACCTTTAGCGGAGGTGTTGTCCCTGGCTCTCTCTTTGTCCCCGGGAGCACGACTTTTTTCTTAGTTTTTTTTCTTTCTTTTTTGTTTCGGGGAACATACAACTATCATATAAAATACTACGCACTTTCTAATATATCAATATCCCGATATTAATCATTAAATTATGATTAGAGCTAGCAAATAAACGTAACGCCCTTATTTATCAATATGGTTCCTACTAGAGATGTCGTTGGCGCGACCTTCGATTCGGGATGGGTTGAAAGTCGAAACCCACGTACGGGGATCCGATGTTTTGGCAATAATCTCCCGTCTTCGCTCACCGGAAGAACCTCCTCCACTCCAAGCGGATATGTAGCAGTAAATGCATTACCTCCCCTACGTGGGGAAGTACATATAAGGTTCTTGGTATGCCGGAAGTGTACACTAAACTAGAATGCTTTCCAAAAGAATTACTTATACGAGATCGAGTGCTCATAGGCATGTATATTGGAATCTCGATCTCAGCAGTCGTAAGTAGCAAGCATATATATATCTTAACAATATCTCGTGTGCAGAGATATGATGATCATGATATTGACACCTGAAGAACGCAAAATAAGAGGATGCAGCTTGAGGATGTTTCCTCCTTTCTCGTGGATTACAGAGGGAGATCTTGTAATTGGCAATATTTGAGCTATCTATTGCGCGGAGGCTCTAGGTTTAAAGCTACTATCTGCAATATTTACTCTGCGGTAAAAGTCCACAATCATCACATGGAGGTATCCTTAGACAAAAACTCGGATAGAGAGGTTTATATTCCGATGTGTATTTTAGATCACAGAATATCACTCGCATTTCGCATTCTTTTATTAATTCCATGCATTTCGGTTTCTTTGAGATCGGGCTTTCCCTAATTCTCTTGCTTTGTTTCCTTTCATTCTAGGAATATATTATCATTCAAACTTTGAGAAAAAAGCTTCGTGCATCACGGCAGAAGCATCAAATAGACGTATTCCCGGACACATCCGGAAGTCCAGCTCACCTGGACAGGTCCGGATTCGCCAATGTAGCGTGTCCTTATATTTTATGTGTATCAATAAGAGTTTTATGATAGAGATTTACCTCTGCACACCTTTTTCCCATAAGGTCCAGAAAATCTATACCTAGCTACCCACCCTCCACATGCATCGAATCCAAAAGGTTCTTATTCGGATTCGCCTATTTTCTTATAATTTATAAACTTCCGGCCTCTCCGCCCTTCATGGTATTCCCAGAGGCCATTGCACCCTCCTGTTCTTATACGATCCGCTAAAATCCTCCAATTCCAATCCTCAACACCACCCACATGTGTAGTGATGGGGGTGAGCCTGAGACTTCTCGGGAAACCCATGAGACTTTTGGTCTCGAGAATTGAGAGAAAAGTCTCAAGACATCTCGAGACAGTGTGAACTAAGATAAACGAGGCAATACTAGTATGTTTAAGGAAATAAATGGGCCATTCTGATGAGAACACTCTCACAAGATTGTCTGCTTTCATGCAATAAACGGTCTCAAAAGGAAGGGAACCTGGTGAAATGTTGACCCCAAGTGCCAACCCTTTTCCAAGTGCCAACCCTTTTCCTATCAATTTCCACTGCTTCTAAAGCTAGACTTGCCTGTTATTCTTACTATTAAAGTCTTTATGGCGGCGTATATTCGATACCAGGTTGGATTAATATGGTTGCAACGTTCATGAGCCCATGAGAACGGGCTCATCATTGCTGAGAAATCTCACAAATAGTGAGTCCGGTCTCGAGCAGTCTCACCCCCATCACTACACATGTGGGCACTCTCATCCCGCCCTCTACCACCCCGAATTTATCCGCCATTACGACCCATCAATCGCCGTTGTCAAAGTCGGTTCGACTATATCATGTTACTCCGGATAGATTCCTTGCTCTGGTAACCATGGACGTGCACTTATCACCAGCATCAAATACGGTATCGAGTGATACTGCATGAAACTTGCAATAGCCAGCCCCCGCCGCCTCTCTTCACCGATGTCTCTTTCAGCTAACCGGGATAGCCTCAAGCGCGCGGTTAGTAATTGGCATGAGACAAAACCTGGCAGGACTTCGTCTCGAGACTTCGCACAAGACAAGACGAGACCATGTCAGGTTCAATATGCAAGGAAGGTCTCGAGGCCATTTTACAAAGGTCTCGGGGCTTTGTTTTTAAGCTAAGAGTATGTATATTTCATTCATTTCGACCATAATTTTGAATTAATAACCCTAGTAACCCTCCTCAAAATTCTCACTATGAAGCTACAAGTAGACATATATGTCGTTTTATGCAGAAAATGCCTGTGATTACAAAGTCCCGAGGCTTCGGCAAGACTGACCATTATGTATGGGCAATTACAAAATATGAACTCTAATATTACAAGACGAGGCAAGACTATACCTCTCCTCATAACTTTGGTTCACTTTCGCGGGTCGGGGCGTTTACCTTCCTAGGGTATGTGTATTTGTGTACATACCCATTGGGCGGTTTTCGCAACGAAGTTATGATTAGAGTAACGCTAGCTAGAGGTAACCGTGATCGACCCCTTGGACATGGCAAAAAGTTTGAAGTTGATAGGCCTGAAATAGGCGAAACCGGGTGGGTATTAAGGCAAGCCCCTCCCCTCCTTAATAAAACATCTCATTAAACTCAAGGTCTTGATAAGCTTGGTTCGGGGCGGTCTCTAAGTTTTTTGCTTTCTCTCCGGGCTTGTCCGGGAACCTGGGAAAGTAATGGCGGGGAGTAGGGGAGGCAGATTGACAATAAAACAAGTGGTACCGCGTCTTAATTACCGCAGAAGTAGAGCAACTTAAGCGCCTTCCACTCTCTCAGGGCTTAGAAGCCTGCCAGTAGGATCCCCAACACAAAACTCGGGTCACCTTCCATTTCAGTTCAGAGCGAGTGACGGTTCATGACCGGGCTTCCTTCACCCCCCAATTCCTGACGTATGTACTCCAAAGAAAGGCAGGCAGAGTATTTGATCTATCCCCTTCACTGGAGAAGTTTCTGCTACCCTCTGAGGCAATTAACAACTAATACCATTCCGCAGGAACTCAAGCTACCGAGTGAGGATGTATGATTCCAGTAGCAGCATGCCATCAACTAGAGCAGGGACAGGGTTCGGGGATCTTGTAGCTTCTCGGTCGTGCTAGGTGAGACGTTCTTATTCGTGGGACACTATCACAACTGCAGATACCTGTGTACAGCTCTCACTCCTGGTCCTTCTGTGTGGTGGACCTGCCGGTCCTAAACCACATATATAAGAGTAAGGGAGTCAAAGATATCTTGTAGGTGCTACTCAGCATTAGAACTAACCCGGGCGCCTCGTTCCTCTAGCTAAACTATACAGCTGAAAGGAGAACGAGCATTTCGTTTCTTTGTCGTGTCTCCCCTGCTGCATGATTCATGTGAAGTAGAACCTCGGATAAGAATGCGACCAAAGATTAGATGTTTGAGGGTTTATGGTGACTGTACTAGTTAACTGCATGCTGTGAGCTTATGGCGTTGGGACCTCAGGGCTCGCAATATTCTGGATCTGTAGGTGGTATCTAGTCGGGATATTCAACCGGAATGCTTGTGGAATGTGACAAGTGATACCACATGCACGTGAACTGATAACATAATGATATAAGACCAAACCCAAAAGCATGTTCCCTTTCCACTTGAATTCCGGAAGGAGGACATTCATACCTTCGTCGTGTACTGGGCAAAGTCTCCCGGTTCGGTAATGTTTTTTTTGGTATTGACCAATAGTGTTTTCGCATTGATGATCTTGATATCTCGGTCCTTTCGTTTTGTCAGGATACATACATGTATGCATCGATCATGGGCAGGGGACCTACATATATGTATGACTAACCAGCAGATATCCAAGGGGGCGACATGCTGTGCGAAGGGCGAGCCAATTAGACGCCATCTGAATATAAAAATGCAACAATGATTTTATTGTCAATTGCTCGGGAGGATTTGTGGCGATTGTGGCTCACACAGAAGTTTAGAACTGTCGACAGCTAGTGGTGGAAGCCGTGCCCAGCCAAAACCAGTTGACGCCAAGCTTTCTAGCACTTGGAGCATGAATCTCAAGGCTAGCCAATTAGTGGGCACGATACAGGCAAAACAAGTCGAGAGAAAATATTCCCGGCCTCCGCTCTTGCTTTGGGAAAGTCCGACCATGTGTAGGACCATAACTTCTGATTGAATGGAGGCCGGTCTTACCAAACCGCCAGATCGCGGCAAAGTCTTAATTCATGTGATTCGTTTCTGGTTTACAATTAATTGTGGGGGTAGAAGGTCGAGATTTCTCGCAGTAGAAAGTCCCATGCTCTCTCATACCCAGCCTTATATATACTGTTAATGATATCCTGATCACTCAGGGGAGCACTATCGCCTGAGACCTACCGAAGATCTGGGGATATCAGTTCGTGTCCAGTTATTTCTTGATCAAGGTTCGGTACGAAGATGATGGTGATGATAGATAATTCAGCCATATTTAAGAGTATAAATTATATTACAAGCTAATCATCGCACAGGGTATCCTCCCGTCCGGTTCCCACTAGCCCTACTTGAACATCAATGACCTATCCATATATCGTTTCGTGTTATCAGCCCAGGCTCGGTGTCGTGTTTTGTTCTTCCTTGCTCAGTCCTGATGCGCATAGCAGAGAATCGGAGCATTGCTAGACCGATCATTGTTCATTGTCATCACCCTCTCATCCATCAACCCATTATTTACAAATTTATAGTACTCGTACTCAATTGGTTCTGTGTGGGTAGGTGCATCAAGTCGCTTCTGGGTGGAGAATGAACAGCTCTATCGGCTATGAATAATAAGAGCTTTGCTTGTACTGTTCTAGGCTTTGGCCCCGATAATCCAGGGATGTTCAAGAGCTCTCGAGGCAGGGAGGCGGTTGAGAGGGTCGGGGTAAAGTAGAGACTCTATGAAGTCTAATAATGAATGTGGTGCATTTGCTTCCGTTAAGGCTGCCACTGGAAAAACTGTTCCACCTTCCTTTTTGCAATACTCTACTAATTCGGGCGAGTTTAATCGAACATTGAAAGAGGTATTTGCGGAGTAGTAAGTACTGTCACCATTGTTGGTGGAGTAATTGTGAAAATTGCCTGGTGTCTCCTCATCGCCGCTCTCGACACCGGATCCGTATCCGGCTTCTGAGAATGGTATCGTCCCGGTATATAGCTCATGCGTGAGTACGCCCATAGCCCACATATCCACGGCCTGGGTATATGACCTTCCTGCCTTTCTGTATGTGCTAAGTCCTAGCACCTCCGGAGCCATATAATTGCCTGTTCCAATCATAGTTCTCATCCTACTCGCATTAGGACTAGTTGACTTCGCGATACTGAAGTCGGCAAGCTTGATTTTAATCGGAGATATTGATGCGACAAGTACATTCTGTCGCAGGTCAGAAAAGGTTCGAGTTATATATATTGAGGGATGAAAGGATAAACCTGAGGCTTAAGATCGCGGTGACAAATCTTGTTTTTATGCAAGATATTAAATGCAGTGAGAATCTGTGTACTTATGATCTTTCAACATCCCTTCGCGCGTGCTCGGTCGTCTAGCATATAGGCATGTAGGTCCCCGTCGGCGATATATTCCATCGCTATATAAACGGTTTCTGCAGCGTCCTCGTACCATCCGAAGAACTCCACAAAACTATCTGTATACTGAACATCAGTTAGCTTACGTACTAAGAGGCGAAAAAATAGAAATGGAGTTCACCTCATGTAGAGCTATTAGCGTATTCAACTCCTTCATTGTGGTTTTTCTATGACTCTTTTATCGACTTGACAGCACGGACCGTTGGCCTTGTCGAGTCACGTGAGGTAGTTAATCTAACCTGCTTATAAACCTCCCTCACCAATCCTCATGTCATTTTTCCAAGTTCCACCACTATACCCCAGACCCCCTTGAGTTGTAACAGTACCCTCTGCAAATTCCGCCTCATATTTCCATCGTAAGCAGTCGTCTCTAATACCTCCTACCAACGGTATGTTCGCCTCATCATAGGTGGAGGCAGTGATAGATAACGTGAGACGCTTGTGGTGCTGAATCGGCGATGGGGATCGAGAATATGTATTCTTCTCGGGGAAAGATAGATTATCCACTGTATAAGCTTCTAGATCTGAACCATGAGGTTCGGGGTTCGAGGGCTGTTCGGCGAGAAAAATGGGCACTTGCGGAGAGGACTGATCCTTGGGTAATTGCAAACCCCGAAAATTGACATGTAATAAATCGACCGTAGCCGTAGTTTCCGCACTCGCTTTACTGTGAGACACGTTAGAATGAGCTACGCAAACAAGGATGTAATCAAATTGCCATAACTGTAGGGCTACATGCAATTAATAAATTAAAAAAAAAAAAAAAAAAAGGATGTAATCAAGTCACTGTTATTTCCGGAATTCCACATCTCTCTTACCCTATGACGTTCTTTGGACAGTGCCGCCCATCCTCCCAAGCGAGCGCAGATGTTTTCACCATGGAGGTAGAAAAGCTAGCAATATAGAGCTTGGTAGACATTACCTCAACCTTTTTGAAAAGAGGACTGTGATCTTTTGCTTCTGCCACTGTAGATAAAATAGATTCTGAGAAATATCTCTATTTGCCATAGCCCAACGAATTTTATTGATTGTGGTCATCCGAAGACTAGGCACCCCCAGTATTAGAGGATTGAATATCCGTTCTAGATTCGAAATGGTCCCCATGAAATCGTGTAAAGAGACTCGCAAACTATTTGGGTCCGGGGGCGATGGGGGCAATGGCATTTACGAGGCGAATGATCGGAATCCATCGACAGTCATGCGAATATCTTTCAGTTCCTGTAATACTAGCTGTGCACTATCAGGGGTGTCTGTACATATGGAGAGAAATTGATCTAGGGTCACTTGGAACTGAGCATTCGAGTCGAGAATATCGATGATTGAGGCCGCTATCTGTTCCTCCATAATATTGAAGCAGGGTGTTGAAGTGAAGACTATCGGTGGATGAAACCGTGCGGTCTGGACAGCAGCCAAGTCTGATAGCCAAGCCAAATCAGATCGCGCCCCATTATTGGGTGGAAACTGACCTATCGTACGAATCTGTACAGCTCAGTGAGAAGCTATGAAACGAGGTGTAAACGAACTTTCGACGAGGCGTGGTTAAGCTTTCTCGCCTGTGGGGCAGCAGGGATCCGGCACAGGGGATGGGGAAACCAAAGACGACCGCCAAGGACGTGCGGTGTAAAGAGGTTAGTTATGAGCGGCCAGACAGTAGGTTGGGTTGGATTGGTTGAAGCTATTTCGTACGTTTTAGATCAAATCTCAGTCCCAGCCCGGGTTCATCTATTGCAATTTCTTCTTCCGGTCCACAGTATAACTGCTTAGAGTCGTGGAATCCTGCCATGGTCCTTAACCGCCGAACGAGGTAATACACATGAAGAAAGCAAGAAGACGGGACTGGGAAATTAAAGTTTTAGCTTATGTTGGCTCTTTTGGTCGTCACCGTCACCGTCTCACTACCACTACCACTAGCACTAGCCTATTCCCCTACGCAATCTATGAAAGCATCTCGCCAATGGGACTGCCGATGTCTTTGATAGGGTAAAGAAGAACTCAACATCTCTTCTGGATCCGTGAACGCGTGATTGTGGGAGGGGTTATAATATGTGACCCTATTGCCGTGATACCTTATATATGTTATTTCTTTTCTTTGTTCTGTTTGATGTGAGTGGCAGTGTATGCTGGCGGGTAGTTCCGGGGATATTGCCATAACTGTAAAGTTGCATGCAATTAATGAATTAAACGAAAAAAGAGAAAAAAAACAGCCCTGCATCATGTGCTATAACTCGGGTTTTAATCCTACTTCCCCCGCGGCGCCGGAGGTTTTGTCTAGACCATCCCCAGATCTATGATACCAGAGAGATTCGAGCTAGCGATCTTCAATATCAGTCTCTGAAGTCGTTCTAGATCTGTTTATGGGAATAGTTGTTCCTAGGGTTAGGGTTGCTACTTTAAGATTTTTGAGAAAGGATATATACTTGTACTTTCGGTACGTGTAGTTAAATAAAAGCTTGGGCATTTCAGCTAGGTCATGAAAGAGGGTTAATCCAACAAGTCTCGCCGGCCATACTAAGTTCTCGTTCTAGTGAATCTTCCGATGTGGCTATACAATACAATGGAAAGTTAAATGTGACTTCACATGCGCACAAAAACAGCATTCAGTCTTTACACAGAGATTAATAGAGCGTATTGAGGAACGTTGCGCCACATCATCTGCCTAGTTTCAGCTACAAGACCGCTAGACACCTAGTACAAAACGACGAATACCGCTAAACGGCCGTAGCGCCGATAAAAGCACTCCCTTAAGTGTATCCTGTGTATCCTACTTAAATCTTCTCTATTCTATGCCCAATCTATGCCCCACGTTACCGTCTCTCCATAATCCCAACCATCTTCTCCCTACCACCCTCCTCCCAATCATCCCAACAAATACTATACACTACCGTGTCCCTCCCCAAATCCTCCCCATCTCCTTTCGGCACCTGTTTTCCATTCCCCTGCTTTCCCTTGCTCCCTCCGCCATAGAACACCCTATCCCATCTCAGCACCCCCTCCTTCCTAAATCCCATCCTCTCCGCCGCGCGCATCGAGGTCCCATTCGCACTACTCGTCTGCCACTGCACCCTCCGTAGCCCTAGCCCCCCCTTCGCAGGCGGGTCTAGCGCATATTGAAGCAGCAGCCCAACCGCGTTGGAGGTGACGTGCGTTCGCTGGAAGGGTGGGAACGTGATTACGAAGCCAATCTCTGTGGACTGGTTGACGGTTGAGGTGTTCATGTAAGCGAGAATGCCGGCGAGGGCACCCTCGGTGTCTTCGGCGGGAGGACGGGTTTTGTCGATGACGGCGTAGAATGTCATGGTGGGGTTGGGGCGGACGACGACGTCGAAGAAGTTAACGGTGAAGTCGGCGGGAGAGGTGAAGGGACCAAGCGGCATGTGCGCGTAGACCTCGGGGTGGGGATTTGTGTGGTTAAAAAAGGAAGAAGAGTGAACGGAGGGCTGGAAAGTGTGTTAGTTGGCGCGAAATAGTAGACAATGCTCGTAGGACTTACAATGAAGGGGGTTAATTTGATGCGGTCATTGGAGAGGTCCCGGACCGGATAGCAAAAGTTGACGTCGTAGGGTACTACGGTGCTGGGGGAGGATCTGGGGATTTTAGTAGGTTGCCTCGTATAATTATTGTACTGTGCCGAGGCGTGGTGGGGTAGATGACTTACTCTTCCGGCTCAGGATAGGCTAGCTTCTCTACTGCTCGCCACTCCTCATTTGATTCATATGACTCGCGGATCAGGGCCAGTAGCTGGTTGATAGCCTTAGCGACAGGATCCTTCAGCTCTTGGAGGCTCAGTTTCTTCTCCTTGTAGTCTTGCTCCAACTCTTCGTATGATCGGTAGTGTTTGTGTACAACTCCGTCCTTTGCGTCGGCCTTGATATCGATAGTGAACAAAGTCCCTTCTGGTGCATCTTCACTGCTGAATGGGTGTCGATCAGCAATCACCTCACCCTCCCCCTTACCTTGCATTTCAAGCCGAATCCTGCTGATGGGCATCAAGACCATCTTGAGGAGGCCCAGTATACCATTTTTGGCAATCTCGCCATCGTCGCATTCCACGTTTGAGATCTTCTTGATGACAACATCCGGGGTGTCGAGGCAATCAATTTTGGAGCTCGGTATGGAGGCCGACATTTTACCGTTTGTGAGCCCGGGGAGCATTGAGTTCATTAGGTGCGCGCGCTTCTTATATCCAAGCTTAGGAAGAAATCTTTCGGCGAAAGCGAAGAGTCCGCGCTCAAAGGAATGTCAGCTAGGACGCGAGAGTAAGGATAATAAGATAGCGTTATCTACCTGGTCTGCGCCCCCAAACTGAAAATCAACGCCGAGATACTCCTCGTCCAGCGCCTGGAAGCCGGGACACAGCAGCGGGCTAAGCATGGTGGCGTTGCAAAGCTCCTCTCCGGTCTCTCGGGAATCACTCTGGGTAGCGAGCGCGCAGATCCTCATCTGGTCGAGGAAGTACTGTTTTGTCCGCAGGTGATGGGAAGATTCAATTATCCAGTTTACCCTTATAGCTGGGACACCGATCGCTTCCAAGGTTGCCTTCATGACGAATTGATAGTATTTCGTGCGGTAGCTTACAACTTCGAGTGAATGCTTGTAGTTGACGCAGAATGCATAAATATCTATAAAGTGAAGTTCAGTCGATTACCCTCATGACATCGGCGCTCATGGGGGAGCTTACCACCTAAATCGACAGAGACCTATTGGTAATTGTTAGCGCGGTTCCTGATCATCGCCTCTAACGAGACAAGACACACCTCTAATCCTGCGTGTACGAAATCCGCAAGCTTTACGAACGGGACGAGATATCCTATGTGTGCTGTCCTGCGTCTCAGCTCAATCCAGGATACAGTGCCCAAACTCTTGGTACTCACGTCTGCCCGTAGGTGCCGTTGCTATTTCAAAACATTGGTCAGACTTCTAGCACTGCTTTGTTGGGTTCGTGAGTCGCTTGTGTACATACCCCACATGGCTTTCGGGTTTTTGCCCTCGGCTAAGATGGCCTTAATCAAGTCCCCATCGTGGACCTCTTCTAGCCCCCGAGTGATGAGGTCAAACCTCTGCTGTGCGCTCAGTGTGGTGGACATTGGCAACCGACTGCTGATGTTTGGGTGATGGTTAAGGGGTCGTTGCTGCTCTAGAATAGAACTTATTTATCTACTGTGGACTTTAGTTGAAAGGTAAAAAACAGTGTTGTTTGTTGGCGGGGAGGTGGCCTCGACCTCAACAACTACGCTATATGCAATGACTAACTATATTGGGCCTCGTTTACGTCGAACATGTTGCCAAGTTTAAACAGGGACCCTTACCCCTCTCTCCGGGTCGCTACCGAAGATCGACTACCAAATATGTCCTTTACCTATTCAACTCTAGGTACAGGGGTAGTGAGGAGGGGTAGAATGCGGCTCAGCGAGGGAGTACAAGGCTCTGGCATTAAGTGAGTGAACGGATCCTTACCGGTCAACACCCCATTTAGTTCGCTCACTTAATGCCAGAGCCTTGTACCTATCTCAGTCCCAGGGATGCAAGCCCGGGCCACCGTAACAATGACATTAATGTTACACAAGAACCTGAGTTTGGATTCTTTTTTATCGTATGCAGAAAATGTTGAAATCAGATAGTTTAAGCGATTCCCTGATTTCCTCATGCATAAACAGGGATTGTGTCATGTGATCTCGAATTTGTAGAGAGAACGACGTCGGACTAAGCAACTTGATACATCTTAGTCTCGTACAAGCTGAAAAAGACCAAAAGGATCTCACCAAAGTCGGGGCGATATATCACCAGCCCCTCCCTCCAGTGGGAAGGATGATAGTAGGGCGGGGCTGGGTACGGGCTCTCCGGGGTCCGGAGCACGGAGGTGATACGCCTTCGATGCCTGCTGCTGCCGCATCACTAGTGCTAGATGCCATTGTCTCGGCAATCCTGGAGGTATTCCGGGAGTGGTCTACTCGCGCGGCTGAGTTTCGACTTACTCACGTGACGCTATTTAACAGGTTTTTGCGTTACCCATAGGTCATGTGATTAAGTTGAAACTCGGTCGCGCGAGTAGACAATATTTTCCTCAGGTTGGCGGGGTATGTATCACACACTGCAAATAATCAGCTCAATAGAACGCATTCTTTTGTCTTCGATCGTCTCTATGTGCTTCTCTGGTCCCGAGAGGTTTAAGCTCTACGGCGGCCTAGTGTTGGATACCGCGGGAGAGCATTGGGTGATCTAGACCGAAGTAGGTACTCTATGACGAGGCTTAGGATTTTTACTATGTAGCAAATCGATGTTGACCTTTGAGTTAGAATGCTTGGTCTCTCAGTTTATGAAACTTCGTGTACGCCTTGGTCAGAATTGTAGAGCATGAACAATGATGTCATTCATGTCGAGAAATAATCCTATTATTATTGATTATTGGAAATGCAGACAGCAATCACACAAACCAAGTACCAAGGCCTCAGTTTCTGAGTATCAGCAGCAGTCTCAAAATTACATTTGAGCTGTAGATACAATCAATACAGGGGAATACAGATCTTACTTTCTTTTGAACTAGATAGACCCTTGTGGTTATTATAAAGTAATAACCGTTTCAAGCTGCGTTCCTACACGCCGCAACGTAACGCCCCGCGATACTTACCCTCTACGTTCTCTCAAATACCGAGCGCACCCCAACTCCTTACGACAAGATATTCAGAACTTGAACCCGAAATTACTACAAGTCACTAAATATCTATCCTCCACCACCAAACATTATGCCTCACAACACTTCCTCCACCGCCAGTGTCAATGGTGCCGAAATCAACATTGCCCACCTTGCAGTCGTTGACTGCGCGCGCCTTGCCTCCAAGGAGCCTGGCGAAATAGAAAAGCTTGTGGAGGCTGCCCGATCGCCTGGCGTCTTCTATCTCGATTGCGGGTCCAACAAAAAGTATCTCGCCAACGTACAGACCATGTGCGCCATGGCCGACAAATATTTTGACCAGCCCCATGAGGTCAAAATGAAAGACTACCGGGAATCGGAAGACCGTGGGTATATACCCTGATAACTACCACTTCAAAAAAGGCCTATATTGACATACCATAGCTACAAATTTGGGGGATTGGACAGCACCTTTGAGGTAACAATCCCCGCCCTTCCTATCTCTTCCCCTCCTCCAGGCCTCAATTACTTACGCTAACATTACCCTCATCTTCAGATTGCACGTGATGAGCTAGTCCAGAAAACGCTCGTCCTCCCCGCGGTGTTCGCCAACGACGCTGAACACTTCGAGCAGTTCACCACCATGTCCCACGAGATAGCACACACCATGCTCGCGATTCTCTCCGAGGAGCTCAACATTGCGTTCGGTGAGAGCAATCGCGATGACAAACCCAGCGACACAGGCCTTAAGCTGGCCACCTCACCGCTGCGGGAGTCACTCTCGGACATTACAGAGAATAAGCATACCGACAGCGGCACGCTGACAATCCAGTTCTGCGAGCAGTGGGGTACCCAGTTGCAGATGCCGGATGGGAAGTGGGCGTTTGTACAGGCGAGGGATGGATGCGCCCTGGTAAATGTTGCGGATTCGTTGCAGAGGTTGTCGGGCGGGAAGTTGCACTCATGTTTGCATAGGGTTACGCAGCCGGCGGATGGCAAAGAGAAAAGGGTTTTTGTATTATACTTTTTGAGGCCGGAGAAGGGCGGCTGTGCTTAGCTGCTTGGAGAGGAAGAGGATGAGTTGCTGAGAGCCTGAATGGCCGGTGATGTATGGTAGAAGAAATATTACGGCCATATTGTTTGGTTTCTTCGGGAGTGATGTGTATCAAGAGCCACGGATGATCTTTCGTAGTAACGGGATAAGTTGATATGGGCTTTCAAGACAAAGAGTACTCGAGTATTGACTTTGCTTCTGGCAAAAGGATTAGTTGAAATGATAGGTACATACTCTAATGTTGAATATTTACAATCATGGTTTATGAATTCATGGCAATTTCATACCACGCTATTAATATTATTTCCCAACAAAATATCAGGAAACTAGATATTCCAAATTTTCAACTCAAACTATTTACATATATTTCGAAATCTCTTGTAAGACGAGAATTAATGGCTAGCGGGCTTAGGTTCTTGCAATTGCCCGGGATTTAATGTGAATGTCTTATTCTAGACGCTGATAGGAAATCACGCATTGCAGGCACAAATCACGCCTTACGGTGCGAAATCACGTATGGCTTGGTTACTAGGATATAATATGGGATAAATACTGTTTTTTGCTCTCCCAGAACCGTCCTCGAGGACAATGTTGTCAAGTGTTGAAGCCGGATCCAAACAAGGACAGAGACCAGCGAGGATAAGGCACCTCGAGGACACCCGAGTGCTTCGCTCTGGGGCGGGCCCACGCGAAACTAACACGTCCATCCTTCCTCGGGTATCATATTACAATGTACCCTTCATTGTACTCTCGCTGCATCGCTTGTCCTTACATTTGTTTCATGGACTGCTAGGCGTCATCTTTACGTTCCTTCAATCCGCCGTATATGATGAATTTAGCCGCTCACATTGGCTTTAGAACTCTGACGGTACGTTCGATTGCTAGAGCAGGTTCTCTATACCGCAGTTGAGTCTCCGACGACTCAGACTCCCAGCATCCTTCCGACAGCCCCCTCTTCGTATTGGCCGGTGCTTTTCTTCAGGCCTGAAATGCCTACGAGGTGTTGGAACTACAACAGGTCGGTCGCATCCAGGTCGATCAAGCATTGATTGATCAGTTGATTAATAATCGAATAGTTGCTTACTGCATATATATGAAACATTGATGACTTCCCGTGGGGATCTACCGCAGCATCTTTGCTGCAGCAGGGATATTCTGCTCACACCAACGCGTGCATATCGACGACGACGATGTCCAGCGACTGTCTCTGGTTGGCTTACACCCCTGCTGAGGCGCAACGAACCCTCTCAAATACCGCGGTAACCCTCCATACATGTATGTAGGAGCCAGATTTCCAACCTGGATGACACTTTACACATAGAGTACATACGTAGCCCGCGGTTTTGGTTTCAGTGCCAGTGCAAGAAAGGTCCAAACCTCAGCTGAACATTTGTTACAACCAACCACATTGCTCGATTGCTGATTTTGGCGTTTAAACATCTGAATGCACCTACATGTACGTAACCCCCTCCTCCCCCAATTCATAAATCTTATTGCTCTAGATTCCACCCAAACCGCCTCTAAGCACCCGAACTCATCCGGTTCTCTCCGCTCCTGGATTAGAATCTTTTATTCACACTCACCCGAAGGTTGAAAGATGGGTGGTATGCACAAGCCAAATGGAGGAAAGAATATACAGTAGTTCAATCCGGAAGAACCAATCAACTAACGGGACTCACTTTCTGAGGAATTAGACAGATCATATTTCCTCAACTCACTAAAATCCAGGGTTAGGTCTTTTCATGCAAAGATCCTGGTCGTAAAACTCTATTCAAAATATCAAGGCAAGATAAATTGAATATAATTCATTGAAAACACAACGAAAAGACCCCTCGCGAGAATAAACAAAGTCATCGCAAAAAAGACCAACCCTGGGTTCCCGGCTTACTTCCAAACTGGTAGTGTTGAGGCTCTCAATACAGCGTTAGTGTCTCCTTTGGCCCTGGACCGCTGATCTTTTTGGTCTGACGATCGGGATAGCTTAAACTCTCTGGTCCCTGGAACCAGTCCCAACAGATGCTCTTGGCCGTGACATGGGCCCTGAGATGACGTCATAACAAAAGTACATCGGCCGTAGTCGCATATGTACTACTATATTAAGTACATGTAGGTAGTCCTTTTTAAAACTGTACTTCTACTCTAGACCGTACTCGGGTACATACATGTAATAATCTCAACAGCTAATCATCGCGTATCTAGTAAACATTATCCAATGGCATCAATGTTACACAGAACCTGGGCGCTCAGATCTCGGTGATTCGTGCGGAGAATCGATTATGTGCACCATTATGTGGGCCAAGTATTCCGTCTATCACGTAAATCAAGCGAGATCTACATCTGATAAATGACGCATTTGAAACAACAGCACCCAAGTACATCTCCATCTAGCCTTCGCAGGACTAGGTAAAAAACCATATCTCCAACTGACAGGGGTTTTCGAGCTGAAGATGGGGTGGATCTCTCGCCCCATATGCCCGAATACGTTTCCAGCAGAAGAGACAGAAGAAGCAAATAAAGCATTGGGGATGGAAATCTCTCCAAGGCGTTTTTCCCTCTTGTTGCGTGCCATGATGCCACTTCCGTGTATTCGATATTTTGTGCTGTACATTGGATGAATTCTGGATGTCCTTTCCTTCACCTTCATATCCAAACTTCGGTGATAAAAATCAGGCCTATTATACGTAATAATAAACTACGGATCTTCTTCAGTTGGTCTGAGCTTCGAAATGATTCCGTCGCCGATGGTTAGTGTCGACATGCCTTTCAGTGTCAACGCCGACGTACCATTGAAGTTGCAGGTTTTCTTTGGGGCCACTGCGGTCTTCGTCTTTATAATATCAACTATTACAGTGCAAGCTATAGCAAAGCTCTTTTCAAGAGAAGATATTAATAGCGAAATCAAAGGCGAGTTTCCACGTATTTCCGATTGGATAATCGTCTGACAGGATATCTAGAAGCTCCGGCTCCCCCTCTGAAAACCCGCCATGATTCCCAAGATGAGGAATTGCAGCTTTACAAAGACCTTTATTTCAAACTACAACATCTTGAGCAATACCCAGAGATTCTCCCACAGTCCCGGGATCTCTTAATCTCGCTGTTCTCGGAAACCCTCTCAGAAGCGCTCAAAAAGACGAATTCCGGAATCTTGTCTGTCGAGCAGTACACACCCGAGAGCCTGGCAGACTTTATGCGGAATGAAGCCGACAAGACCGCACAGCAATGGGAGCAGTATCTTGCCCGGAGAAAGGCCGGTGGGCGGACGGAGATATTCAGTGACAGAGAAGAAGCTAAATGGTGGCTCCGGCAAATTGCGCCGGTCAGATATGTCGACGGTGCTTGGCTCGGCCATATCAACACCATCACTACTCCGTTCTCCCTGCGGCGGACGGCCAAGGATGCCTTCCAGGTTCTTTCCGAAGAGCTAGGTGATGGGGATTTGGGCAAGAACCATGTTTATGTCTACCAGCAGGTGATGAACGATATTGCGCCCGAATTGCCGCCTGGCGACAGTGCGGATTTTGGGCATCCAAGACATCAGATGGGCCAACTATGCATTTGGAAAGCGGCCGTTGCCCAGTTGCTCATATCGCTCTTTCCACATGACTTCCTGCCCGAGATTCTCGGGTTCAACATGCATTTTGAAGTGGTATCAATAGAGACCTTGGTGGCCGCCAAAGAACTAAAGGAAGTGAAGATCAACCCCTACTACTTCCTCCTCCATATCTCAATCGACAACGCCGACTCCGGCCATACCGCGATGGCGATAGAAACCGTCCGCGGGTACCTTGAGCACATACGCAAATCCGCCGGTGACCTCGCAGCACAACAAGCCTGGAAGCGTGTTCAGGCAGGTTATACCCTCTCCGCAAGTCTCATTACAACCCCAGACTGCGCCACCCTTCGAGCGGCCGCCGTCGGCTCCTTCCCTCGCAACGAGCACGAAGCCGAAGTGGCCAAGATATTCAAGGCTAAAGCGTATGTGGCGCACAGAATCCACTGCAGCAGTGCAGTGAAGATTGGCCGCCGCACGCTGGTCGACTGGCTCGAACCAAATGCCTTTGCCTCGCCGCAATGGCAAATGGACTTCCTACATGACCTGAGCAACCTGAAACCATGGGTCTACAAGGGCGACAGCAGGCGGAGCAAGCTCATACAGGAGCTCTGCTGGGAAGGCAAGATGTTTGGGTCCTTCACCCAGCGCGAAGTGGAGTCTGTCCAGCGCTGGATCGACTCCCTCGGCAAGCCCTACAACTCACACATCTACTGGTCATTCACCGGCCGCCCGGAGGAGACCGCATCCACTACGGCCCTCCAGAACCAAGATATCACCGCCAACCACCCCGTCTTCTCCCCGAACCCCGCCAATGAGTTTTCCGCACCCCCGCCCCCATATCTACCGCCCAACACCCCAACATCTGCCCTCACCGCCCTCACCCCGGTCCTGGCCAAGCTGCTCCCAATCTGGTTCGCCCATCCCTGCCTCCTCGAATCCTTCGTCTGTATCCCCGCCAAGACCAGCACACCGTCCGCCGCCGCCATCCTGTGTATGCTCCGCGCACAGTCCGGCTTCGGCGCCGAAAGCCCCGGCGTCGCAGGCATGGACGAAGTGCGCCGCGAGGACAGCACCGGCATCGTCGAGCTCGGACTGGAAATGGTGCGGCGGCGGGGGCTCGCAGAGCCCGCATGTCTTAAGGATGCTCTTGGGATGTGGCGATCTGAGTTTGCTGTGGTGATGCTGCGTCTGGCGATGCGGCCAGAGGAGAATCGGGGGTTGCTGCTGGGGATGGCAGCCGCGTTTGTAGTGCTGTATGATGTTGTCGCGGCGTCGGCGCTGCTGTCGGAGAGTGGGAGGGAGGTGTTGGGGATGATTGCGGAGAGGGGGAGAAGGTATGTGGAGGTGTGGGTGGCGGAGATGAGGGAGGATGAGGTGTTGTATGCGCAGTATTGTAGAGGGTATGGTTGGGGGAGGGCGGAGATTGAGAGTTGCTTTGAGCATGAGGGGGCCCGGGATGGAGCTTAGGGTGGGACGCTCGTTGGGACGGGGATCAAGTATATATAGACATGTAGCTGTAAGCTCTGCATTGTGGGGCAGTAACCGATTTTCGTCAAAGGGAACGGAGAATGTGAAAGAAGATTTTGAATTTTTTTCGCGGAATTTATCATGCGCAGGTTTAGCAGCGTAGAACATGAATGCACCGGTAAAATAACCCGTGCGGCCAATCGCGATCGGAATCATGATTCATCACTCTCTATCGTTACAATCTCGATACGTAAGTATACCGCAGTGCGTTATGAGTCCCGAGCGATACAGAATATCCCAAGTTCTAGAAAGGACATTGCTTGCAGAGTAGAGGACTAATTGATAACCAATGCGTACCGTTGGCTGAAAGTATATTGGTGTTTGCATGGGCAGCCGCAGAAATTTCATCATCGGATCGGCATGCTGAATAAAGCGTAGAGGTACAAGTAACGGGAGTCGTGGTATCGAGAGACAGTAATTTATTCACCATTTGCAGGCTCCTTGACTTGGCTGAGGGTAATTTCGATATCCGATATATAGTTTTTGTCTCCGCTTGCCTGCAACTGGGGATTTGATTAGATATTTTATTTTTGTTCATGGGTTGCTGGTGTTGGTTTGTACATGTGAGCTACCTGCTGATAATGAGCGATCCAGCACCCCGTTTTGGAAGAGATTTGTTACGCTCATTGGATTTAACGCCCTGGGTGTTCAACCGGCTGAGAAGAGTGTGTGCAGATATTAGGTGACTTCAACGAGTTGCCAAGGCTCATGTGATATCACTCGGTGGGCAATCTCCGAATCATATCTGATGATCATGACCGATCGAGTGAGAGACCCCCTACTAACACGACCCAAAAGGGCTGAAAGTGGCGTCGGAACCTCGTGGCGGTCTTTGGTGTGGCTTTCCGGTCACTTTAGCAGCTGGTATGTGTGTACTTTATTTAGTCGTGCCGCAGACTAAATTGCGAAGGGGGTTTGGAGATGGGGGCGCGGATTAGGGGATACATAAGTAAGTAGTCACTATTTTAATTAATAGCTGCATATAATTGAAAGAATATAGAACCAATAGGAAAATTTGCCACCGATCGGGTGGCTACTATAGTCGGGCGTTGAATTATTTCTGTTCGTCCGTCCCTGCAGTTCACCTCCCGGCAGGAAAGAGCCCACTCGATCGCAGGAAGCCGACATTACCGAGTTAACTCAAGAAGATTCGAGTAGAGAAAGGGTGTCGGATGTAAGATACAATACTTATATTTTTACCTGGATTACATGTCTCTAGCCCTAGGCCTCTCTTCTTATCCTGAATCAAAGCGGAGATGCTGCGACAGAGCCGCCACAATACCTAGCCGTTATATCAGGGCTATATCCCTGTAGTGTTTAAATCGGTCCAGGCTCCAGAGGCAATGGAAAGGCTCCAGGAATTGTAGGATGCGTCTGGATAGACTCGTCTCGGGTTGTTTCCTGTCTTGTCTTAGAAAACCACTGCCATGGTTTTGTACTGCCCCATAAGCGTAAGGGAGGCCTGTCCTGTTGGGGAGTCCGAACGAAGTCCTATCTTTGTCGTTGGAAAATCTCGGTAATTCATTTGCCTGTCTGACACAAGGTGAGTCAATATTTGTTGGGAATCATACTCCGGACGAGACGACCTGGATGGGGTTTATTACCAATCTACTCAAAACGCAAGTGATATGAGAAACTACCAGTTCTCCAGACGGCCGGCTCAGGCATGTGAGGTTCCTTGCTAAAGTAGGTGTTTCATGGGATCATAGGGAATAAGCCACCTCATTCCGGCATTGCCAAAGGGATATCATAAACGTTTCCGACTCCGGAGGCCAAAGAAGTGCAAGTTTCGTCAAAAAAGAACTAGATTATGACAGTATTGTGTGGAAAAATTAGAGTCTTATCTAAGTAGCTATACCGGCTTTGTCCAACCCCACAAGCCCGCCAGATGGAGAGAGGAGCCCCGCAATGAGGTACAGAGTCTCTCGCTCCCCCGCTGGATTTGCCAACGAAAATTGAACACCCAACTCGGGAAACCTTGGATTTATTCAGTCGTTCAACAGGCACACGGCCTACCTCCTCTCTTTAATGGTTGAAACAAAGCTCGACTCTTCGTAGAATATTATTCCACTTAATATGACTGTTTAAGAAATTTAGTCATGGTTTATCACTCAGTCTCAGAAGGTTCCCCTGATTTGCCTTGCCGGAGCTTAAAAGTTTCTCATATTTAATCGGTCCGATATTGACAACTCTACAGAGTTAATTTTCATGTCCCGGTACTCACCATATTCCTCTCGATGGAAGTACTAACGTATTTTAGGGTAAATAGTTACTTTTCTTTTGAGAAATAATATCATTGGTAGGTGTTGAGTAAGATTCCAAAAGCTAGGCCCCCTCGTATTGTACAGTACGATGCCAGTCGTGAGCGTCAGGCGCCCCCCGAATCATCATGGGTACCAGCACAGCAACCACAATTGATCCTTTGAAGAGCTGAATTTTTGTATAGTTGTTAAATAGTAGATAAATAAAAATAATTTGACATTTAATATTTTGTGTACCAACCCGCCGTGAAAAGGTTGCGAAAATTTGGTTGCGCCTGACACTCACGACTGGCATAGTCCTGTTATATAGGAGACCTGATCTCCAGCTTGGTTCACCCCTATTCCTAGACATTCCTTCTCATGCTAATCAATATATTTCATCTTTCCATATGCTGCCAGTGGTTGTTGCCTGAAACTCAACAGGGTGCTTATCTGGACAATGGTTGATTTTATGCTTCCGTGCACTGTGTTCTATTAGCAACTGTGATTCGTCTCGTCTCATCTATCAAGCCCTCTGGTCCAGTCTTGTCTTCTGCAAAACCTAAAGACATTTTGTCTCCACTTTCTATCATACTTGATACGGAGCTATACAACTGGCTGCTATATAGGTATAGATGTGGCTAGTAGTAACATGCTGAGAGGTATAATAAAAGACTAATAGTTTGAGGAAAGATGGTACCGGGAGTGGTGCTTAACTACCAGCTACGAGTTTTCTACATTCTAAGTTATTGAGGACATGGATATATTTTGGAAGTAAGGACTGACGAGTTTGAAGTCTCGCCATTGATAAAAGGCCGACCTGCGAGTGGTACAGGAGTATCGGAGAAGTCGGTATTCCATAGGCATTGACTAGTTTCTAACTCTGAGTGTTTACCGAACACTCAGAATAGGTTGAGGAAACAGATTATCCGAACTCAGAGTGCTGACAGAATACTCTACTCGGAGCGCATTTTGAGAGTTAGCAATTGCTAAGGATGTTCACTGAATACTCTGTCCGGGACGTTACTTTAGTTGTGGATTGACGTATGCACCTCCAACATCAGCAAAAAATCAAATTGCTCCATGTGCTCCATGGAGGCGACGGAGCCCGCAGAGCACACGGAGGAATTTTGCCTCCATGGAGCGACCCTATTTGTTTCTCCTCCGTAAGCCAAATATGAAATAAACCAGGTCACAACTTGTGACCTCGCCGCTAATCCTTTATATGCCGTGAATTTTTTTTTTTTTTTTTTTAAATCATATGAATTGTTTCTAGGTACAATAACTGCATGCAGGCATAGCCTATGGCATAAAAACCTAACCCCAATGCCAGTTATCCTGTTATAGTAGTTATGTTGTACTACCAACCACATTCCTCTTACAAGGTTGATGACTAAGAAAAACCCCAGCTCAAGAAAAAAAGAGAAAAGTTTTGGATAACACAAAAGAAAGACATATTGCCTGGCCAAAGAAAACCTTAATGCATCTCCAAATCCCCTCTAAGGGCAGCCCGAGAGGGGGGTAAGAAAAGTGTACCCCTGAGAAATTCAGTGGAGTGGAGGATGGTGCTGGTGGTTTTTGGGGGGTGACTTTCGAACTCGATGTCACAGAGGGAGAGACCCTATGGAAGATGGGGGACCAGGGGACTCATCAGTGAAGAGGAGACCATGAGGATGAGGTTGATGTCGGCTCTCTGGACGGCCATGTGAAATGTCGCTCTCTTTTATTTGACCCAAGTCATGGGAGGAAAACGATCTGTATGATTAATCTTTGGTGGTGAAGTCAAAGAAAAGTCATTATTACAGAGGATACTCCACTTTTGTCAACTCTTGACAGTGTTGATGAGACATTGTCAGAAGGTGAGAGAATATTATATGCCTTGAATCGTCGTCTATTACTATATATACTATTTACACTAATTACATCAACCACCTAGCATCTCCATATAAACTTCTACACCTAGCTCTATATGCCACTGCCTGATTGCTTACCCTCCGTACCCGACCACCTGCCTTATCATCTGCCCTATCGCCTGCTCACCTACCTACCCTACCCCCTGCCCACCTACCTGCCCGACTAACTACCCATCTACCTCCATGCCCGACTGCCTGCTCACCTAAATCCCCCCCTACCTCCACGGTCACCTCTTTATGTCTCTGCTTGCCTGCCTGCCCCACTACCTGCCTACCTAATTTTTGTCAATTTTGTTATTAATTTGGTGTCGAATTAGGCATCGATTTGGGTATGAAATTGTGAATCAATTTAAGCATAAATTCAGCTTCAATTTGGGTATCAAATGGAGCATCAATTTGGACGTCAATTCAACTTCAATGTGGGGGTCGATTATGATGTCAATTAGGAGTCTGTAGCAGTATCAGTATAGGCATCAAAATGCAGAAGTAGGTAAATAAGTATACAGGAATCAACGCGTGTAGGAGGCAGGGGTCGCTGTAGGAGGTGAGGTAGGTACGGTCGAGATCTTCAAAATGTGATTTGTCAAACCTGACCTTATTTGCCACTATCTTACCTAATCAGGACTAGCAACCGGAAATATTATATTTCAGACGAGTTCGGATTGGATTAGCAAAAATGACTCGTCATCTCTGAAATGAGGAGCACAGATAAGCCAAGTTAGTGAGATTAGAACCCAGTTTACAGTTGATTACCTATCACCGGCTAATTTTTTGTTGATGAACTCAA